CACACTCGGCCTGGACAGCTGCAGAGAAGTCTGCTGGAGGTGAACACACAGGAATCCTGTTTTAAAAGTTCCTACACTGCAAGTTGTTGAAGGCTAGGAGAGCATCTGAGGGAAGTGTGACCATTTCTCCTGTTTTCATATTCTTTGTCCAGCAAGGACTTGAACCACCCTTCAAAATAGGATGCCAAGTTCACCTTAGTGTATGTTTTCACCTAGGAAAAATTAGAGACATAGGTTGCATCCTTCATAAAGGTCACACTCCCCGAAACACCTGATGAAGTTTGTGCACAGTGATGGACATTCTCTAGTACCACAGTAGAAAGAGGGAAAAGCTACTATAAGAAAATAAAAGGAAAAGATTCAGCGGAGGGTTAAAGTGACATGATCAAGTGGGGAAATCAGGAATTAGAGAGTGGAACTGCAAAGCAAAACATTCCTGTGCTAAGAGAGACCAGGCTGTGAGAAAGTAAAGAAGATATCACAAGAAAAGCACTGTGCTGCCAGGAAAAAGGAAATATGGGGAAAAATGGAGAAACCTGCTAGGCTTTAAAGTGGAAGACAATTTTTAGAAGGCATTTGTCGGGCAGTTTTGGGATACAGTTCCCTATACAGCTCACTCTCCACTGATACCTGGCAAAGTCCTGCTCCCACTGTCTTTGCATCATTTTCCCTCGCTTCTGGTACTTGGTGCTGGAAAAAAAAAGTCAGGCTAGTTTGTGCAAAGGATCAGTTTTGGCCAAGCATCCAGAGCATTCACTAGAATGCAAAAGATCTAGCCCCACCTCTGCTGTGGTGCATGCTGTTTCCTCACCAACCTTTCATCTCTCTATTCAGTTTTAAATTGCCTAGGACAGAGCTTGCCTCTATGCCCAGAACTATCTTTGCTGGATCCTGCACAATCTGGGCAGACAAAGACACTTTAGCACCACAAAGCAGTCATAAGTCACTGCACTGTATAATTACTTTTAACTCTGTGCAGTCTGAAACCAATTCTCCTAGGTCCTGCTGCTGGCAGAAAACACCCTGCTGTTGAACATGCATCTGATTACAGTTCTGCTCAGCCAAATATTCTTCATGGTTTCTACAGATGTTCCTTTTTTTTTTATCCCATAGCTATGAGCATTATGAGCTGATGCTCTCTTCACCTGCCACTTTTCTCTGCCAATAATCGCAATAAAAATCTATTAGCTCATGCCCTTAACCTCAGCAAGTCCTAGCTGTGCTGGTCTACATCTCATCTGGGATAATTTAAGGTTTCAGGAACTGCTGGCTTAGTGTTATCTTTAAAAATACCTCCCTCCCCGATACAATCAGAGGCTGGGAGGTTTCAAGCAAACAAAACCAGCTAGGCTATCCAATCTCCATAAGGTTTCCATAAAATTCTCATTCGCTTAACTCTTATGTTAAGCTGCTTGCAGCTAACTGCCACAAAGGCACACTGAGAACTCAGGCTGGAGCTGCAGGCTCCAGTAAAGCGAAACACTGAGATACATTGGAGCAACTTAAACTTAACAGAGCTGTGCCAGTTCCCACCAAAAGAGACTTGGGTTTGAGAACACTGATGAGCAACTGTTGAGTTCCCTCAATCAGGGAATGGTTTGAACTCAGAAATTGAGTTTGTGGCCTCTTGCTTCCAGGTCACTGCATCAAACAATCTAGTGCTGTGCAAAACAAACTGAGAAGTCTTGGTGCAGTGCCAAGGAGAATGAGCTCACTTTTCACCTATGCATCGATTCAGGACACAACAAATGCATCAGGTCAGAAGACAGGGAACATATTTGGCCCTCATCCTCATTTTCCAGTCATTTTGTGGACACAGGAAGACAGATTCAAACAAAAAAAGCCCATGGGTTGCATCAAGATAAGCTGATCTTTCCTGAAAGCTACTATGAAATTATGATGGCAGACACCATAATAAATTACTCAGCCAGACAAGTGGTCAGCACAGAAAAAGAGAGGAAGGAGTCTTCCTCCTCACCCCCACCAACACCAGCTCACAGTGTTTGGGAGTGAGGTAACCCTCGCAAACAGTTCCTCCCATTGGCAACACTGGATGTTTTTGTGTCTCCATAGACAGGGCACACTGAATAGTGGAAAACTGATAGATTATATTCTTAGCTCTGTGAAGACTTTAGGATGTTTCTGGGAATGAATGCCTTGCTCTAGAGCCGGCCAGCTCTGAGGAAGCTGAGCAATTGGGATGCAACAGCAGGTCACAGCTAGCATAGCCTCAGGTAACAGAGGTGATTTTCAACCTAATGACAAGGGAGCAAGTAGTCTTCTCCAGAGGAAAAAGTGGAACAGCAAATCAAGTGCTGAAAAGACTTTACGTAGGAGACAAAAGAAGGCTAGCATTAATATCACTTTCCTACCTCACAAAGCTGGCAGGAACAGTAGCTACTTTTACCTTCCATTCAGGCTCAGAGTCCTGTTCTGGACTCACAATGCAAAGGGTGCCATTAGAAGGACCATTGTTGGATGGATATGGAGGCAGAAATGAATGAAGAACAGGCGATCGAGAAAGGAGACCTGCATCAAATCTCTAGCTTCTGAAGAGGACCCATAAACCAGTAGGAAGAGTACTAGGCTGGGTGTCAGGACATCTGCATGCTTGTCTGCAATTAGGTCACTTGGAGCAGCTACCTTCAGTACTGTAACTTCAGTTCCCCCATCTGTAAACCAGGGGTAGTAGAGTTTACTAATTTCATAAACAGCTTCCAACACTTTTTCTCTTCAAGATAAAGATCTATTTTAAAGCTCCTAATAAAAAGTTCAAATTAAGCCTGAGATCCAAGTTTTTCAGGCCTTGTGAACTCACGCTCAAAGACCTTTGTGCTACAGCTCTTGAAAGCTATTTATAGAAGAAATGGAAAGCAATTTGGGGAAGTAGAGTAATGATGTCCTTCCACCAAGGAAGGACCAAACCTAGCTCTTATCCCCTCCCACACAGGTTGCAAATCTGGCCGTTGGTGGTCCTAAAACTGAAATGCTGCACACATTGACCCAATCAGTCTTGCTTTAGAGATCATCAACAGCACAAATCTCTCAAAGGGATATCCGGTCTGAGGGATGTTCAGGACTTAAAACAAGGCCAGGCCAAGCTACAACAGAGTGACATGGGCACTCCTAAATCTTGCAACTTTCGGGGCTTCTGTCACGCTGAGTGGTGGTCTTTAACTCCTATAACTTCCACTATACATGTCCATGCATTTCATAGCATGAAATACAACTGCTTGAAAAATCTTCTCTTGAACTGAAAGTAGCTCCTCCAGAGTGGAAATTTTCACCCAAATTGCATGTTTGATATGGGATATTCACATTTTAAATTAAGACAGTAGACATGCAAACTAAGAATGCTGCAAACTGTCAGCTTCCAGCAACCAAATCCAAAGGCTTTTGGGTTTGCACCACACAGCTTCAGACTTTTGATGAAAAGAAAACTTCTAAATATTTGAACAGCAATTTCATTTCCATTGGAACCTTCCAGGTGGAGAGAGAAGGGAAGGTTTCCTGCCCAGCTCTAGAGAACTACAAGAGACTTTATAACACATATGATCCAAACGAAACTTTGGATCTGAACTCTGGGGAGAAACCAAACATGGTTCTACACCTAAATGCAGCCACAATCCAGATTTAAGGAGTTCTGGCCACACAACAGGTTTGGGTCCAATTTTATGGCGCTTAAAAGGAAAAGCATGAATCTGTGGCTGCCTCTGCTGTTCTTTTTTGAAAGCCACCTCCCACTTGTTCACACATCTCCAGCACTTATCTCTCCAGGCTGCACGGAGATGCCTCCAAAACAGTTAATTCACCATATCCCCCCCACCCCAGTGCTTTTACTCAGATCCCTCTCCTTCCCTATTCCCCTCTCCAGTGCCACCTGCTCCTCCCTGGACACTTAGACCTCCAGCTTCTGCTCTTCATGCTCTCAACACTCACCATATCTAAATTAAGCAAACATGAACCACAGCCAGCCGAGCCTTCCGCTTAGTGACACAAAAGTTGGCAATTCCAGAACCTGTCTGCTACGGAGAGGGCAAGCATAACAGTACAAAAGCCATTCAGGACAAATTACATACCCTCACTGTCCTATAAACATACCTGCCCTGGATGCTCAGTGGCATTCCTCACAGGGCAAACAGCCTTAGTAAACTGTTCCCCTGCTCCAAAGAGCAAGTTACACAGATGCTCAAAGCACGAGCAAGTCCAACATTGAGCCATTAGACTTTCATGTGTCTAATTCATAATAGACTAATTCATGCATTTATTTTGTACTCAAAAGGGTCAGAACCGCCTCCAAAACAATCAGGCAGCTTCTGAATAGATTCCATCTTAGAAAAGATGAATTCTGGTGGTATTAGCTATGAGTTATGCTTTCTGGTTTCCTATGTGGCATGACAGATGAGAACAATAGGATCATTAGTTCTTCCAGCTCAATGGCTCTCAGTACACTTCACGAGGAGACCAGACACTCAGGGTCTAATTTGCTTCTCTTACTTTGGTTCTTCTGCTGGGTGAACTCTGTAGAGGAAACATCTTTCCAAGCCGCATCCACAGCAGCACAGCAATGCCTTAGCCCCTGCTCCAATACAGCTTCCAACAAGAGTGTTTACTTAAGCTGCATGACCAGGCCTGCTAAGCACCACAAAATATAGGTAAGGAGAGAAACAGACCTAATCTCACTACATACATAAGCCAGCAAGACACATATAGATAGTCTTTACCGGCAAGTTTGTCTTCTATATTTTGTCCCCTCCACTGCTCGAGCTTATCTATTCACATATTTGCTGTCAGAGTCACAGCATACAATACCACCAGCAATTTTTCTCTTAAAAAAAAAAAAACCCTCTTCTGCATTCTGCAAATTTAATAGCTCCTCATCTCATAATTATTACCTTCACAGTCAACATATTTGAAGATCCAAAATGTTTTGCAAGCAAATGCCTGCCAGTGCAGAGTCGGGGGATGGGGGGGTGCAGGGAATAATCAAAACAGCTTACTGAGAGTAACCGTGTCATTGATCCTGAAACTGCAGAGCACTCTGTCAACATTACGGGCATGTCGAAATCCATTTCCTCTCACAACAACCTGAAACGACTCTGTAGCAAAAGAGAGAGTAGATTATTAATATATAGGGAGGCAAAGAATGGTCATTTAGACAAGGCATGCATATCAGAAGTTTTCACTTGAGATCTCTTGAGCTAAAATTTGCAGTTCAACAATTAAGTTTAAAAATTGTTAAAAATTGAACTTCCACTCTCTCCCTACGCAATTTCAACTTGAGTTTTCAGAAACAGGAAATAATCACAACAAACATTTTAACTAACCTGCAGTGAAAACATTAAGCTTCAGAGACACTGAGCTTTCCCCTCCCCAAGTTGCCATTTTAAATGGCAGAAAGTTTTAGGTGAAGAAAGGCAAGAGTATCTTTGCATGGAAAGAAAAAAAAAATCTTCCAGTGACAGATAACTTGGAGAAGTTCAAGTGCTACTTTCCTAGGTAACTGCAAAATTGTATCGGTTGCCATGAGTTTTGTCACATCCTGCCCTACTAGCCTGTACAATGACCATGAGTCCCTGGCTGGATACAATGAACAAGGGATTTCATCAACCGAGCAGCTTTCTAGTCTCTGGACAAAGGCTATGATCTCAGAATCTGTGGGTGTTTCTCCAAGTCTTCCTCTTCGCTATTCTTCCAGATCGGCTCTGCAAGGTCACCGCAAGCTGCAGTGCAAGCAGAAAGCATCAAGAACAGTCACCAACACCTGAGTGCTGAACTGAGTGGTCCTTTTTGGAACAAGCAGGGCTGAGCAATGAGATCATATCCTCACAAGTCTTTCAGACCACCGTCTACCGCCCCTTGTTATTCCAGCTACTTGAACCTAGTACTGGGAAACGTTTACAAACTTCCTGCAGCCACCAGCATTAAGACTGCCTTGCAAGGAAAGCACCATTTTCAGACTTTCAGATTTTGAAACAGGGCCATAGTCCCAGAAAAGTTCTGGCAGCAGACATAGGAACTCAAACTCTGCAGTTCCCCATGGCGAAGGAAACAGCCCCCACAATTCCTGTTACTATCTAGGAGAGGCAATCAGATAATCCCCACTGATGTTTTGCTGGTGAATGTGGTTTGAACACAAAATGTTTCACTGTCCGAGACAATGCAGGAGTAATTACAGTGCATCAGAAGAACCACCCTGGTTTTAAACTTCCCAGGAGCAACAAGGAACCTAGTTTTTGCAGATTCAAAGTTTTCGCCTTGCACTTTACAGTCCCCATCTTCTTTCATCTCCCTTAAGGACTCACACACTGTACTTGTCAAAAAAAGCAGATTTGCTCTGGAATTTGGGCTCTCTTCCAGGTCCCACTCATTTACAGCCAAGCTGCAAATCATCCCACCACATCTAGCCAGGGAAGCTGCCTCGCAGGCCCATTATGCGTTGTCCAAGAGCATTTGGGAAGAACAGGGGAAGAGCAGCTCTGTTCTGGAGTGCGGGGGCTGATGAATACTTAAGAGAAATCACAGAAGTCTCAACTGCTGGGGAATGAGAGTTCAAGTACAGTCAAAGAACAGCATATCAATGATGTCAGATTAACCACGGGGATCTTGTCTCTGCTTGAGACTGAAATGAACAGATACAGTATGCACCCTGCATGTCTGTACTGATGCAAAACCAAATCATCAAGAAACTGGCATTTCAGAATGATGTGTTGCTGCTGAAATTCATTACTCAAGTGTCTGGGACCAGTCTGCAGTGCAAGAGTGGCCTCAGGTAACATGGAGCCTTCATGTTCTCTCCTTCCAAAAAAAAAAAAAAAAAGGCAAAAACTGCCACTGCTTTTCAAGGATGTGCACAGAAACAAGAAAACACAAGGTATCAGAGCTATACCTGTAAAATTTATTTTACACTAAGGCACATAACTTTCATATTCAATGGCACTTTCATTAGTCTCAAAGTCCTAAGTGATTAAATAAGCTGCAGTTCGAGAGCAATGGAGTATTTGCCCGAACTCAGAGATGAGGCCTTGAATTGAGCATCTAAATAACTGTTGGCATTTTTCAAGGTTAACATTGGAATTTGGCCAGTACTTCACAAAAGAAGCAGTGAGAACGGTTTATATAAAACCCTTCTACATTTCCTCTCAGCTGGCTCTGCTGGATACAGCTGTTCATTACCCCTACATTCTCATTAAGACACAATGAATGGGAGTGATGAGATGTATAAGCAACTGCCAAGCATATTAGAAAACGTTAAAGATGGTTATAAATGGTCGTTACAAGTCATCTTCTTTCTGGCTTACGACATTACATAAGCATCGTTGTTTATCACTTACCTAAGTATGTAAATATATTTTAAAAAAAAATCTGTAAGAGTGTAAAGTGGGTCTGAACGTTATACAATTTCATTTCCTTTCCCAAGCATTTATGGAACATCACTGCACTATATCAGAGACTGTCATGACAACAACCATCTACCATGTTAAGGTAGACAGAGCCTTGTTTTGGAGCCTTTTTTAACAAAGGAACTATTTAAATGGCCAGCCAAAATGAGAAATAGATGACTAAGTACTATAATTCATGTCAATTATGCCATCCTGGCTTCAAACAACAAAACTACTGTAGTGGCATGCGTGGAATGCAAAACTGATGCCTGGTACTTATTGGGCATTTAGCCTGGCGTCTTGCATCTGCTAGGAAAACATGACTACCTATATATGTTTAGGTATACAGGCAGTTGCTCCAGGAACAAGAGATCCAGGAAGGACGATTAAAGCAGCTGCTTTGGAAGTGAAAACAAAGAAGTAATGGTAACTGGCTTTCTTATTGGGACTACCGATTTAAGAAAAAGGAAGATGCAGAACTTGTTAGGGACTCATCCTTCTCCGCAAACCTCAGCTCTGCTACCAACCTCTCTACTTAATGAGTTGCTACACATTTAATAAACACTTAGGATACACTTCATAAAATGTGAAGAATTCACAGGAAGCAGATGGAAGGGGCTAACATGGTTCTCAAGCTTTCTTCAAAAAAGGCTGGGTTCTGCTGAATGCAGAAGTACTTGCCAGGACTTTAAAGCCACAGTATACATAGCACAATCATATTAGAACAAGCACACAAAGAAGGGGCAGTACGATTCACACAAGTCAGATGAATGATGCTTAAATTCTAGTCCTCTCACAGTCGCTGTATCAACCCTAAATGCCTAAGAAATGTTCAAAGAATATTAGAAGCCTTTAGATCAAAGTGTGCTCATTTGTCTTTCTTGCTAGTTTCTTAAGCAGCACTTCCCTCAACAATCCGCTGAGATGATGAATTTGCAAAACTCCAATCAGAGTTTTATTTTCCGATTTGGTTTGTAATTTTGCAGCATGTCTACTTCAAGTTTGGCATAGTCCAAGTAAGACAGACTGGTTTGACCGAAACACAGTTAGGCAAAACTGTCAAATTCAAGCCTTTTCTGTAAAAAAATCCCATTTGACATCATTTGGCAGAAATGGGAAATGTGTAAGCTACTGTAAGATGAAAAAGAAATTCACCAAAAAAGCAAAAGATTTAGCTCCAGTTAATTAGTTCCTTTTGCACTCTCCAGCAATTAGAGATGGACAGAAAGATGTATTTTAGGCAACATGAACAACTAGGGCCTCAGTTTATACTTACCCCCTGCACATATACTGGAAGGCTCTGCTGCCAGAATTTCTATACAGGATTTCTTCAAAATCTAAAAGACAGAAAAAATGTCATGAAGTATCTCAGACTTGTTTCTGTAGGAACACAACTCAAAGCGTGAGAGAGTGCACCTGTTCTCACGCAAATGCTTAACTCAACATTGCACTTCGCATTCATGCCACAATTATGCCATCTTAGCTTTTCACTTTAAACCAACCACACTGGTGTCATTGCTCTTCCACAGCAAACTATTGCTATGGAGGAAGGCAACGGATGCTGACGCTCTCCAGTATCTCAGCACAAACTTGCCTTTACCCGTGGTACAAGTTATTATGCAGACTATGATCTGTAACAACTAAGGTGCACTCTGAAGTGTTAGCAAGGCAATGTCATTGCTCTCCCTTTGCAGTTACACCTCCCTCCCCAAAATTATTCTGGAGCCCAAAACTCCAAACAAATGTCACAAGTTTAAGCTAAGCTGTTTACCTCTGCATTAAAACATCCTAGGAATATCTACACAGCCACTTCTCAAGCCTCGGTACAGGGGTTCAAACTTCTTACGTTTTTAATCTCATCTATGACAGCATACCTGAGTGCATCCTCAAAATTGCACTGTGATTTCAAATCAAGATGTATGGACGATTGCTCTTTACTTAAACCAAAGTTAAATTAAGCAGTATGTCTTCATAAGAGTTGGCACTGCTTTTAACGACTTTACATGTAGACAGCAATTTATACAAATACTTCAGCATCAGGCTTGGCAGACTGCTTGCAAGGCATGAGGAACATGCTAGAGTTGGGTACTGTGCCATATAGTCCTAAAATTGCTCAAGCTGTTATTTGCATGCAGCAGCCTTCCCCCTGCTCTGAAGACCAACTCAAATTCTTCACTGCACACAGTCAGCAAACTTGTGACAGTGTCCATAAGCCCCTGTGAGAACAGCAGCAGTGACCGAGACCTGTGGGTGTTCAGCTCTGGGCTGAACAGCCCCTAGACGAGGTAATACTGATCAAAATTTAGGTCAGCTCCAAGAGGCAAGTAAATGTCAGCCAAGCATCATGACTCAAATCCAACGTGAAAATTATTTTCCCAACTTTAAATTGAAACATCTGTAAGGAAAGAACAGCAACAAATACAATAAATTCTGTACGAAAAAGATAATCTATTTTTTTCTCCAAAATCATGGCTCTCTGCCTCAAATACCTAATTGCAGAAGGTACAAATAGAGCCATGATTTATTTTTTTAAAAACTTTTAAACAAAAGTTTGAGTTACTTAAAAGCAGGGCTGATAGAGACTGAAAGAGTACCAAGGGACTGAAGGAACCAGGACCGTCTGAGCTGCTGGCAGCCTGACAAGTGAGGAGAAAGAAGATTTGCAGGAACAAGGATATACAGGAACTGTCAAGTGGAAAAAAAGAGAAATTCAACAGTTGAGAACTGAACTGAAAAGCATTAGAAGAATTTGAAAGGCAGAATAAGGAAAATACAGAAAAAATAAAGAGGACTGTAAGAACACACTTCCAAAGTATCCATCTGTAGCTATCCACCCATCTCCTGTCAGTCCTCTACTGCCCACCCCTTACTCATTCCAGGTTCTGCTTCTCTGAAGATACAGCATTTTTCTCCCAGTGACTGCCAGGGCTAATGAGCGCAACTAAGAGTTGATGTTTTTCCAAGTATTTTTCCTCTCCACTGAAAAATGTCTCCTTTAAGAGAATCTTTTCACATTTTTCCAAATTCCCCCTAAGATTCTGCTCCCCTCTCCCTCAGCTTCCCCAAAAGTTTTGATATGTATTTCTTCTCCTCATTGCCTTTCAGCAATGAAGTGAAAGAGAAGAAGTAGGCAAATGAGCTGGAGAACAAATGCATGAAAAATACAATCAATATTTTCATTTTTTTTTAAAAAATCAAGTAAAACCTCACACGATTAAGTTCGAAATTCATTACTTCTATTCAGTCATTTGCCAACTTTCATGCTGTAAGCCAGCTCAGATGGGGGGTAGAATAGCAGGTGTCTCAATTAGATGATGCAGACCTCCCTTCCAGTCCAATCCAATCCATTTACATGACTATAAAAAGCTGGTCTTAATCACTTTTTACAGTGCCAACTGCAATATTTATTTTGATTTCAAATAATAAGTTTCCAATGCTCCAAGCACCCATCCTAACTTAAAGTGAAAATCAGGCAGCAGTAACTATTGCAAAAGAATTCCTTTATGTCTCTTCCTCGTTATAAAAATATATTCAAAAAGGACTTCAACGTAATCACCATAGAAGATTTCATCAAATCTTCTGTTCTCTTATTTCCCCAAGGACTGCACAGCCTTGTGTGGGCTATAGGTGCACTTCATTCACTGCCGGCTGGCTCCCCAGGAAAGCAAAATAACATGCAAGAGTGGTGATGCAATCTCCCAGCTGAGTGCCTATAAACTGCTCCAACAGCAGACATGGGAGAACTGACTCCACATCCTCATTTTCACAGGGAGGACTACAGCAGTTCTGGTTTACCTGGTAACTAACTGCAGGCGGCAAAGCAGCTTGCCTTGGCACCCATGCAGAAAAGTATTTGAAGCACATGCTCACTCTTGGTGAGGAAGCACCCCATTGTCTTTAGCAGCACACACTTAATGACCAAGCTCAGATTCCCAAATCAGTCTCCTGTTGTACTCTGTGGGGCTCCAGTTATGTTCCAGCTTCACACAGGCTCCTGGGAGGATCTCTTGTTAATATTTGTTGACATGCCAAATAAAAAAAATGCAACACATCCTTGTGGAAGCATGGCTTTGTCACAGTTATCCCTATCAGGACAGAGCTGAACTTAGCACTACCTGTGATTAATTTAGCTTTCCGCCAGGCAATGCATTAGAGTCCAAGAACCAGGAGAGGCCCTGCAGGTCACCTGGGCCATTTTAGAAACAAAGGGAAGAAGGGGAGTGAAATTCTGCAAATGCTGGAAGCTTTCAGTTGGTATTCTGGTCCACAAGCATGCAGATAGATTATTTCACCACAGCAACTGCCTATTTCTTGTAATTTTTTTTTTCCACTGAATTTGGGAATTCTAATAGCAAACAGGATGCTGAAGTTTAATAGAAGGTTACTGCCTAATCAGTGTTAGTGTGAATGACCTACGGTCTGAGGCTAGGTACTCATTACCAAGCTCTGTTGAATTACTAAATAACAAAGTCTGTTGCCAATTACAAAACAGTAATTTATTTATGAAGTGTTTCCTGTCCAATAATATCTGCATGAGCTAAGTAAAATAAATATATTTAAGTCCTTTTAAAGATGCATTTGGGGAAAGAAAGAAGTAGAAAGCATGATCATATGCCACTAAAAGTAATGAGAAACACTATGCAGTTGAGACTGGGGGTTCACATCCTCTACTTTAGATGGCTAAACTAGCTACCCAAGCCAAGAAGCTTGATTTATTGACTTTCTCTTTGGCCTATGTAGAAAGCCTGGCTCTGACAGAAGACAGATTCCAAATATCTATGTGAAGCTCCTGCTCTGAATTGCCCTCTGGAGATCCCACCCTTCCTTACTGGCTGAAGAAGCTTAAAGAGCCCATCTTGCTGACCCGGGGCAGCATACATGTAAAGCTCAGGCTACATGTTAGCAGCAAGGCAGACAGCTGACTTAGAAATTTTGTGTACATTACAGATTTTGTATATACAGGATGTGTCTTGCAAAGCAAGTAACTTTCTCTCATCTCTCTCCCGTTCATGGAGTCTGAGGCCCTCTCTCTGCACCAGGAAATATACAGTTTATCTATCTGGAAGTGAAGTTTGAACAGCTAGCTCAGGATAAAGTACATAAAAGCATCACCACATTTCTTATACTTCGTCTACCGGCCACTCACATCCAAGTTCTCACAAAAGTTGCCACACTACACATACCCAGCACTGCAGTTTGTGTAACTGAAGTATTCAGGGACAGTACATTTCCAAGCTAAAATTTCTTGAGAGGTGAAGGAGTACATTGAACTACCATATCAATTTTAAGAGCTGAGGCAAGACCTGAAAAATACTGAGGGTAGGTGGACACCATCGCAAGATGATCCGAAAGGAGTACACAGGAAATTAAAAGGATGAATCATTTGCACAATTTATACAGACAGGAGACAGTCCCACAAACTAGTTCATACTACTTCATTTCTTACACATCACGACTGCTTCATGAGGCTTCCTGCAGCTCACTCAGAGAATCCTTTCCAAGGGACCTGCGATTGCATCTCTACTTGAGATAAGCTCCGAGCTAGTGCCACTGTTTAACACGTGGCAAGGATCAGAGTGTATTCTTGTTCCAAGCGACTGCTCTTTCAGTATCTGTTGAAGGCTCAAAGCAAAGCAATGACAAGACCCTATCCTGACTTTCATGTTGCTTCATGTTCCACTGCCTCCGGCACTCCTACCAAAGACATACTGAGCAGTAGATGAAGTTGAGTTTCAGGTTTTCCTTTTAAGACTTGCTCCATTTGCTTTAAATTGACAGGTTATGATCTGCAGAAATTTTTCACAGCAAAGAAAAATTTAATAAGTTACTTCAGTTCCTTCCATTTGTTTCCCAGCTTATAGCAATCAGATGTCTGTTTCTCTACCAGATTCTTCCCTCCTAACAAACTCAAAATCCCCATTAAACATGGGGGAAGCTGAAGTTTTAGCAGTGGCTTTTTCATGATGAGGGAGAAAAAGCAATTGGTTTGCTTAATAAAAAAGTCACATTGGAACTCACAGAAGAAAAAGGACCAAACCCTACACTGCACTGAATAGCTTCAGCTCCCACTAAGAATCATGTTTTTAAGCATGACTTCAGCATGGGACTATATTTTCAGCTCATTTAAGCGCAGCTTCCAGGGCACGGCCTGACTAGCTTGGTGGTGCTTAGTGGGAGATAGTCCTCCTCTGAAGGCACCGAGCAGATCTCCCTGCAGCTGCTAACTTAGAACTTGCTGGCTCCCACAGAAAAGGAAGGGCAGGTGTACTGAAGCATTTGCAGACCCACTGCCCTGAACTTCTTTGCTCAGTAGATGTAGCGGCCCAGCGGAGGCCAGCCTCAAGATCCACCACTCTCAGCTCCCACTGTCTTCCTCATTCCAGAGGGACTTCTAAGTCCACCACCTCTGCACACACAGAGGGTTGAAAAAGATCTACTCCTCAGGACAAGGGGAGGAGGGAAGAGTCAGGCTGCCTCAGCAGAATTACAGGGCAGTTCACACCAAATCCCTGTAGACCAGAAGAAACCCAAGTCTTCACATCTCTAGAGCGATTTCAAACACTAATCTCCCCCAGCCTCATAATTTTATCCTTCCTTCCCCTGTTATATCAACCAGCAGCTAGTAGCCTAACCAATCCCCTCTATACATGGCTGAACATCCTTGCTATACCAACTCTTACACAGGAATTGAGAAGCTTCCAAATCTCATGGCTCTTTCAACATTAAAATGCTTTCCTGTGAACACAAATGCTTTATTTTCTTTGCTCCAAGACAGGGGTGCTTTGCAAGGACAAGAAAATGAACGAGGGAGCTTATTTTCCAACTAGAAAAGGAATCTACAGATTCTTTGTTATTCTACAGAGTGATTAATGTCCCTCTTGCCATTCCTTTTACACACCTCCTTTCTACCCAACCTATTGCAATCACTCCACTCAAATGCAACTGTTCAGGTCACGGATTCATTACTGTACAATTACACTTCCTTGTGACCCTCCTTTCCAGGGCTGGTAAATCTTGCACCGGTCAACTGAAGCAGTTCTTGACTAGGTTCCTGGAGGCTGAAGTCTTCGCATTCTATTTAATATAACTGGAAAGGGAGTCAGAACTGCTGCTGGAATTCATTAAAAACAGCTGCAAAGAGAATGCAGGGCTGGGAAGCAAGCTAGGGGTTTTTGTTGTTTTGTTGCTTTCTTAAATGACATGCAACACCTGATTGTCCAAGAGAATTGAGGCAGTAGCCCCACACTTGGACAGTGCCAGGAAAACCAATAAGCAAGGGATTGTATTCCATCTACATGCGAGAGCACTAGGGAAAATTGAGCCTGCACTGAAGGAATGGTTTTGCTTGGTACTATGTGGTCAGAATAGTGTGTAACCACTGTAAACACAGAAATCTGAGACCCCCCTGGTGAACCTACCCTCCCTAGCTTCAAGTTGTATATTTCATCTGTGTTTTATCAACTAAAAAGCCTATATGAAAATGAACAAAACACGTGTCCTTAAAAAGATTTCCCATCCTCCTTTGTAGCCACGGGAAGCAATCTAATTAGAATGGTTATGGAATACAACTGAGCAAAAGGAACAGAAAAATCCTGGAAGCTACCTGAAAACATACTGTTTCCTAGTGAACACTTGGCACATTTTTCACTTATAATAAAATGGCACACACATCCTCTCATATATTTCCTTTCCTGCTCAGTCAAGGGAAGCGTTGGTCCTAGGTGACACAGTATTAGGCCACTCAAAAGTTTTAGAGCTAGAAATAGCTAGTAAAGACCATGGAGCCATTTGCATGACTTTTATGCAAGCCATGGGAAAGGAATCAATCTCCGCCCCTCCCTCTGTCAGCTGAACTGCTAGCTCTTATCCCAGCCACTCAGGAATAAGCCAGCTTTTATATGCTGCACCCAACCCCTAGAGGAAATGCCAGGAATTGATCAAACTGAATCAGGAAACCTAGGTCTGCGGGGTGGAAAAATAGTCCATTTGTTAGGAGGCTGAATGTAGAAAGCCAAGTTTTGGGGATTTTGGCATACATAGCAGGATCCCTTCCCCCATTCTAAACAGGTGAGCAGTGCAGCACATCCATCAGGACAGAAAGGACGCTAATCAAGCAGAAAGATGGAGATCAAAGAGCGCCCTAATCCTTTGTACGGAATGTGCTCTAACACATCTTTGCTGTCCCAGTCCATGGCAGCCATTTTATAAACTGTCACCATGTGCCTAGTCCATTCAGTCAGTTACTCCCTCCATCAAGGAGGGAGACATACAAAGACAATAGTTGGGCTCAAACCTTCCTGTATTGTGACCTGTTGATAAACTCTACCTTGAAGTAGCAATATTAGTACAAACAAAGGTCAGTTTCTTTGGATCAAATGTTTAAGTAATTTATTAGCAGTCAGCAGGTCCTTGTGAACACAGGAAAACTAAACCTTCAACTGTGCAAGCTAACACAAACTAACGTGCACACATGCAAACACATGATTAGAAAAATACTTACAGAGTCTATGATCCCCTGAAGGGCTTCAAAACCATCATTCACTGGAAAGACATGATCTTTGCTGTCGGCAATTCTAGCCAGCTGACAGAGTGGTAAAAGTAAATAAAACAGAAATGCAAAGAATGAGATAAATTAGCCAGCAGGCAGCAAATTAAGACTTCTCCAGACTCATCCGCTTGCAAGTAAAAAAACCAAATACTTCAAGTACTCTGTATGGATTGCTAGTGCATTATAGTTCGTGAAGCATTGAAAAGTTTATCTCTGTAGCCTGATTGATTTTAGAAAGCTCTACATCAGGAATCAGAAAAGGCTTCCCTTAACTTTGAAGACAAGACAGAACGTGGCTTTCACTGATGCCCAGAGCCTAATGATCTTTATTGCAAAAAAACTGTCTCCCACATGATTGTAGATCACCCAGCACAGTAACTCCCCAACCAAAATAGGCCACAGCATCAACATGACATGCCACTAATGCAGCAAAACACTTCAGCACATACATCACTTAAACCAGGGAACTAATCAAAATTATTCAGTATTTTCACATATGGAGAAGACTAATGCAAATTATACCCCATCTGGAGATACAGGCCTGATCCACCTTTCCTGTCAGGACAGAGATTTGACTATTTGTCCTAGGCTCAACCATTAGAGAGCCAAGAAGAAGAAAGCAGGGAGCTAATGAGATATTTTCCGAGCGGGGAAAGAGGGAGCAGAAGAGCATTTGGAAGCCTACATGACAAGGAAGAGGGCCATTCGTGAGGCGGGGGTAAGATAAGGGGAACCAGGACATCACCTGTAAAGAGCTATATGCAGGTTCACTTGTCAATAGCATGCTAAGGGTTAAGGCAGAAATATAAGCCCAATTCAGAAGTAATGAGCTCTCCATGCATCTGCTGGAGCAGAATCAAGTTTTACTGCTGCAAGGCCAACGTTTGTTATAGTAATTCTCTCCCATGGCAGAGGTAACATCAACCCAGCAGGCCTCTGGCGTTTCCTGTAGCATTGCAAATTGGAGGCAGCAGACTAGCCACACATTCCTCCCTAAACCCCACTGGCTCCACCTTTCCAGCTCATGTCACTCAGAACTCCTACTTCTCAAGCAAAACGCCAAACTGCCAACCTCCTTTAGCCAAGACACAGCAGCTTCTGTAAACCAGGATGTTTACAGTTTCCTCAACTCATTTCCCATAGTCCTCCTCCTAGTGCATTCTGGGACTTCAGACAGTCATCTAATTCCAGTTAATTTCTTCAGCATCTATATGACTTCAGGTAGCAGCTGTCTGAGTGCTGCTACTTTAGATCCAGTCTCTTTGCCATTTTTATTCCCTCTTTGCTTTTTCTATTACTTTAGGTTACACTAGCCTCTGGTTTTGATTCAAAGGAGATTGTTCTAAACCAAATTTGTTTTGACTCCTTTTTGAATCAGTGTTTGAAGCTTTGTTAGAAAACTGAAAACCTGGAAAAGCTCCATTCAATAAGTAGTTCAGCACTCCACTTAGGGGCTGCACAAGTGTTTCACTCACGTTAGAAAAATATAATGTCAACTGTTACACTTGGTGCGAAATGTAATTCATGGACATACTAACATTCATCTGATAGTCTGACTTCTAAATTTATCAAATGGGAAAACACTGTAAAATATTAGTGTCTCTAATGAAGCTGTTTGCTTTTTAGAGCACAGTTTTCCCATGAAAGAAAAGCTAGACTGAAACTGAAGTGTTATATGGCAATACCTCAATTTTATGGGGAAAACAAAAGTCCCCACAACCTCATTCTGCTTACAGCTTAAACTGGACTGATTTGCTATTCTTCATGTGTCTTTTCTTCTGCTTTTCTCCACCATTAGCAAGAGTTATACAGACAGAGGGACAGGTCTCCACATATGGGGATTAAGACAGAAAGGGGCTTAAACCCAACACCCAGACCAAAACACTTCAGACTGTCAGTCAACAGAAGGAGAGAAAGACCACTTGAGAAGTCTTGAGAAAATGATTCAGGAGTGTGTGCCTGTGTTCAGCATGCACCTTTGCCAAGTACCCCAGTAAACACGACAAGTGCCTCATTTACCTGGGTCTCATTGAAGTCTTTCACACCAACACAATATACTGTTGCTCCCAGGTCACGCGACCGATTAGCCTGGAACAAGGAAAGGTAGGATGACATGGATGCAAATATGATGGGATGCAGTTTTCTGAAAGGTCTTAATCATAAATTTAGTCCTCCTCTGTAAAATGAGCTTGTCAAAAGAGAGCTTTAGAAGCTTTCCTACCTGATTCTGCAGAAAAAGGTTTTATCTGCTACTAGAGTAGCTATTTGTTTAGTAAAGCAAAAACCAAGGTATTGGTAGGTTTTTTTATACCTGATTAGCTCACCTTCCAGGCTTCTCCAACTTCCTAACATTTGCCTGTCCAACAGATGTAAGACAGACTAAATCCATTTTCTTTTCATCATTTAGGACATATCCCAGTATAATAGTAACCTAAAATGTTTTGGTATTTTCTATTTCAGACATCTGTGCCTGGACTCATGATATCGATAGGTGAAGAGGCATTTCATTCCATCTGCTACAAAAGTGTATCACTCCCATTATTTACACAGCATCTCAAAGTAATAAAGGGAGAACATCCACAGGTTTGATTTTTCCAGGCTATTTCATTGACATGCAGTTGAAGTGGCATTTACTATTCAAAAAAACTGTTCTAAATGCTCTTGTCTGCGTAAGTATGAATTAAGTCATTTAATCATATTTCATTAGAACAGGAACACCCGACTGAAAACCCATTCCCAGAAAAGATGGTAGCAAGTCAGATTATATCAGAAGACTGCTATGTAACAATTTGAACTACTACAAAGTGCTTTACAAGAAAAGCATCATTCCAGTTTTACACCAAGAAACTTAAACCCAAACAACTGAAGCAACTTGCAGTGTAAGAGCTGAGGTCAGGATCTCCTTTCTACTAGCTAATTGTTCCTCCCCAAACCAAAACAAATACAACACTTCTGACCTCTCAACTTGTTCATTCACCTCTAAAAACAAACTTGTTTTTCTTGTGGGTTTTTGATTTCAGAAGGGAAGAAAAGGAGATGAACAGTAAGGAAGGGAACTCTAGGTTCATGACATTCGTTTGTGCTACAGCAATATTGGTTTTATTCTACAAAACCATTCTTTTTGTTGTTATTGGATTTAAAGCTGCACTTTGGGCAGATTGAGAGGAAAAATCCTGTCAGCAGCAAATTCTTGTAACAATACTATCTTCCAAGTTTAGGTCATCTTAAGTTGTTTGACTGACAAGTGAACATTGGTTCATCTCTTCAGAGATGACTATCAAAAGGACATCAGTAGGAACATTATAGAGCAAAGCTCTCAAGTGCTCAACCTACTGTTAATCTAACATTTTGCACAATACACTAATTTAATGAGGATGTTGAATACATGCTTGAATCTTGGAAACATTTGTGGAAATTTTGGATCTGATCATCTGAAAGGCTTTCTGACGTGGCAGAATATTACAGGAACAACAGTCATCCTCTTTCTGCAGTCTTTACTTTTTGTGAAAGAAGAAAAGTCAAAGTGAGAAGATTCAGGTATTTCCCAGAACAATCCAGTAAATACCGAAACTTTTCAGCTGTGAACTATTCCTTCCTCCAGTTGTTATTCTTTTTAACTGGAAGTTTAAATCCCCCTCCTTTCCTATGAACAGTCTCAGTTTTGATGAGTCAGAAGCATTGCTGCTATTAACGTTTATCCTTAAGATTCATGTCTAAAGAGCACCAAAGTGAAGTTTTGTCACTAGGGAAAAAGATTTTCCCTATCTTTTGCCTTCTAAGCAGCAAGCCCAGACATTTCACTGTCTCCCTGGCTAAAAAAAATGTGTAAGACACTTACCTCCCTCTCAGAGTAGAAAAACAGGTCTTCATGGAGTTCTCCATCTGTCAATGCAATGATGACACTTGCAGTTCTGTAACCTAAATAACACAAACTTCTTTAGTCCCTTGTTTTTGAGTCATATTTGTTAAACTAGCCTAGAAAACATCCTCCTAGTGACCTGTTAACACACTTAAAGGACCAGAAACAGTGGACATCAAGCCCATGTCCTTAACTCCCTTCAGCCAACCAGTTTTCAGAAGACATGAATTTCTGCATGCTTTTTCCACTCAGGCACCTGCCTTCAATACCAGTTTTATATCACATTCCTTTGATGTGCCAATGATTTTTGACAGCCCCTCATAACTATTTCAATATTTCAGACCAGTAGATTAGACTGCACCCATCAAAAAACCAAATTGTTCCTAGTTATTTCCTGATTTTATTAATGCTTTTATTAATGATTTTTAATCAATTCAAGAAATCCAGAGATTTTTTCAGCTTGTGATAAAAAGCTCAATTGGGATTGAAACAGATATGGTAGGAAAATGGCCTAAAATCTTCAACCTTCCTATGTAACATACTTCAGCAACATAGTTAAACCTTGCAGTCTTCCCCTTGTATTGATTATAGCTTGGGTTTTACAAGTTTGTATTAGTTTTCACAAGTGCTCAAATAGAATTAATTCATATTTCTGACAATAGACTTGCTACAGATATGAAGGAGCTCTGTAGGTACATCTTGCACAAACACTGTTATGCAATGATAAAGGCTAAATATGTCAAGGCGTGTAAATTACCAATCTTTAAATTTCTTCAAGCGTCTAGGGTATTTTCCTGCCATTATGAGTAGCCATGCCTTTAACAAGCTGTTGCTGAAGAGAAAAATCCAAACAAGCAACTTCAACTACTGCAGAACAGAGATCCGATACCTAAATTTCCTGGTGCTGCTTAGAAATCCTCAGTTTTAAATAATGTGGTAATGATGCAACAAGAAAGTCAAGTGCTTGACAAACAATAAGCAACATGCAGGGTCATTCATGTTGCAGTTGCCTAACTCAAGTGCCTAGGCTCCTTTTGTAGGAAATGGGAGAAAAGCGAACACTTCTTGTACAAACTTAGGAGCCCAAATGACCTCCAGAGATGCCTTTCTCCTTCCATCGACTACTGCAGGAGCCTTAGGACCTACTGCAGGGGGTATAAACACTCCTTTAGTGGAGCAAGGACATACACACACAGAACTAAAGACAAAATACACAGGCCGACATTCAGACTTGAGGACCCAGTTGTCCACTGCTTCTTGCATATGGTGGCAACCTGTTTACATGTAATATGTATACTAGCATGTAAAAGTATTATCAATCCCAAATCAAATTGTTCTAGCTATCTATTCCATTCTGCTGCAGTCATATTTTACAGCTGAGTCCCAAAGCTGTGCAGGCTTAGTCACTACTTCATTTTATTCATGAGTGGCCCTGCAAAACCATTAGGACTGGCTTTGTACTCAAACATCTGCTCGCCTATCTTTTGGTTTCCAAGAAGCAATGTTTATACTTCTACTTCAGGCTTTGCAGTGCAGAAAGTTTTTACATTAATTACAAGGAAGGAAAGGACAAAACATTTTTACAATTGTCTGCACTTACTACTGGATTTAATAATTGCTTATTGAAAAAAAAAAAAAACAAACCACCAAACCAAAAACGTTTTACCTAACAGCATCTCCACAAGTTTCAGAAAGAAGAAATGGTTACCTGAGTCCTCAAGCAAAAAGAACAAGATAAGGTACCAGACAGTTCAGTAAGAGTAGGCACCTTCAGTCAGCCTGGCTTCTCACTTTTGGCCTGAAACACATTCATTCCAGCTCTGGATCCTTAAAGCTCCACCTGTTCTTTTTCCTTTTCAGGAACAACTACCCTGAATAGCATTGCATTCCTGTAAGAATAGGTGCCATCCCCCACCTTTCCCACAGTGAAGCTGCATTTCAAATCTATTAAAGTTATCAGTCAAAAAGAAAGAGAAAAAAACATTCAATGGATCAAGAAAGTCTCTCACCGTGAACATTTTCATAGTAAATCTGTTCACTTGCCTGAAATTAAATCAGAAGATTATTAGCAATAAATGAATAATAATACTTTGTGGGCATCTACACATGCACCAGAAAGAAAGAGAAGATGGCAGTGAGGATGTCATGTTTGTAGTCTGCACATAACCTCTGCTTTCAGAGATATCTGCATCATAGAACAAGTTTCTTGCCTATGGTTTTGATTGCATTACTTCAAGGTCTTATCTAAAGCATAACTCGGTCAAACCAACCCTAAGGCCATTGGCCAACAATAATGTAGTCTCCCACTATTCTGCTATCTGAAAGTCACATTCATCTTCCTCCTTGAGAAACATCCTAGGTCCATTGATAAATATTCCCCAGCACGTCTAGATCAACGACTCTAATCACAAATAAACCAACTGCAGAGAGATATTCTTACGCTTCTGTCTCCCACTTGATCTATGCACAAGCACATTTCAAGATAGAAGAGCAAACACCTCAGTGTGCATCAATTCAAAATTAAAAAGTAGGCCACCCTGAACATATTTGGCTTATGAATTTCACTTCTGTTCTGAATTTAAATTAGTTTTTTTTTACTTTTCCTGCAAAGTTTCTGAAGTCACCAAACTCCAGGGTTTGGTTTTGGACTCCTAGTTAAGACCAGCATCTCTTGTCAGGTCACCTGAATTTTTGTTGTGTGTTCACATGTATTTTCAATAGGCAGACAGTTCCACAATCCTCCCAAATGCATGTGCAGTACAGAAGTGGGAGCGGGTTCAGGAGTTCAGGTTTAGAGAAACTCTTGGGCTTGTAAAATATACAGAAGGAGAAGCTCAGAGCAGGCAATAACTTCCGCGCAGCATTATTTGTCCACCAGTGAGAACAGGTTAAAGCCATGGCCTCAGCCCCACCCAACTCTAACAAGCCCACTATAGCACCCATGCAGGACTCTGAACAGCTTTCCACTCTCCATGAACATCGTTCCATGTAGGATTGCAAGGCCAAAGCCTTGTCCTAAGCTGAAAAGGCAGCTCCCCCATAAAAGCTGAAGGCAAGAAAATAGGTAAGTAGTAGGGTTTGCAGTTCCCTTGTACCAGCTTTAACACTGAATGCATACATTTCAGTGTATCTATTGCATAAAAGGGAAATAGCCCCACTTACCTACCAGATTCCTTTGTTTAACAATTCCTGAGGAGCACCCAGACACAGTTTAGAGGCACTATAGCATGCATCTAGTTACCCTTTCAAATCCTTCATGCATGTATGTGTCGCCTCCCGGAAGGACTTTCTGCAGCTCTTCTAGCCCCTGGCGTATCTGTTCCCTGAAATGAATGCAGATGCGTTGTTAGATCCAGGGTCAAATTTATCAGGAGCTGATATCCAGGTGAAGACACGCACGGCAGAACCAGATATAGTGAGGGGAAAAAAAGAGTTAACCCAATGTTTATATAGGCTAAGGTAATGTTATAGGCTACAGTAACATCTGGGTAGGTACCTTTCTAAGGATGTGGAAAATAGAGCAGATGTGCTCCCAGTGTTCCCACAGCCTCAGGAAAGCATCACAACAGCAGCATCTCCTATGTCAATATCCATACATTTCTTTCTAAATAAATATTCCCTGTGTAACCCTGGTCAAGCCTCTGATGCAGACGCAGAGCAGCTGACTTGCACCTAGATCACTTTCCTCACTTATGCTTGCTGACTTGACTATACAAATGTAATCAAACAGCCACAAAAAATGACACAATCTCAAATCATCCTGGCAACTCCAGTTTATTTGGACATTACACCTTCTGTTCCTGTTCAAACTGACTTGAAGATTAAAGCCTTTCTCTGCAATGTGTGGGGTATATCTCTGAGCAAACTATACAATCTTCATGGGAAACAGATGAAGTCACTGCATGCAGGGCCACACTGACACTGCAAGACCGAATGCCAGAAGTCAGTTTTGTCCCTGCATTTTTTAACTACTTCAGAAAATCCAGTTTGTATGATCACGTACTCTACCTCACATTTGTGAGGCTGATGCAGCAGCGCATTAATATTATCCAGTCTACAGAGCAGTAACTCCCACAGAGAGAAAAGAGTATCTGCTTTTGCAATGGGTTGAATAATCAAACTTTCAAGAACTCATTCTGTACCTGCGATATCCCAAACTAGTTCGACACTGAGCTATATAACATAAGTGGGCTAGAGGCAGATATTTCCTCCATTCGGCTACCCATGCACATACAAGCCAAAGCTGAATATAAAATCAAGAGCATTTCCTGTGATCAGAACTATTTTTCAAATGCAAACACTGAAATTTTAAAATAGACAGCAAAGGTCTTTAAAATATGTCAATCCAGTCCCATTAGATGCACAGACTTTTTCCAAAAGGGATGCTGAGTATCCTCAATCTTCACATTCAGATGCTGATACGCCACATGAGGCATGGGCAAGGTAGAAAAGGTTTTGCCACTACTCCAGCTTCCCTATTAAGAAAGGCCAGTGTTAACTAAAGGACCAGCATGAAGCCCACACCTTGTTTGTCAGTCCTCCAATAAAAACCAGCAGCTCTCCAGTCAGCTGGCTTTTAGACTAATACCATATCAATATCCTGTTCCCAGTCAACATTTCTAGGACAGCTGGATAAATATGAAATACATTTCCACATGGGAAACACTTAAGTCTCATAGCTTAGAGCCTTAACAGACTAGAGATCATTGCAATCGGGTGTGCTCACAGGGTGGAAACAGAAGGAGGCAGGGAACAGGTTTTCCTCTGGCACCAAGGTAGATATGGTTCATTCTCTTTATACTTATTGTTAAAGTAAGTGGCAAGAGATGCTTAGGCTGGCTGGGTTTAATGTCATTTTTCAAGGTTGATATGTATGTGGACTGCTCTTTAGGAAAGCGGCCAGTTTCCTATTCATTCCTCTATAGTAGCTGCTCTGGTATGCAATTTCATAGACATCCAATATGTAAAACACATGCTGACTTATACAGTCTTCACATGTGTTACATATATTTTTGCTCCACGTGGCAATGAAGTTAACAGAGGAAGCAAGAGCAATTAAAGGACCTCATCCAGCTCTCCTTGAAGTCAGATTAAAAAAAAAATAATCCATCCCATAGAGTTTACTGGGATTAACTTGGGGATCTACAAAGGGATGACAGGAACACACTTCAGAAACATGGCAATCAAACTGTCATTGCCAAAAAATATACACCCTTGCAATCCATCCTAAACACTGTTTGCCTGTAACATACCTTCAGACCTCTGAAGAAATCATGTTCACCTCTGCCTCAAGGGTATGGGTATGACCTACAGCTTTCAAGGTTGTTTTTATGGAAAAGGAGTTTCACCTATTTGTTTGCAGAAGAAACTCCCTAAGGATGTTTCAAAGGCAATAAGGCTCTTGTTCTCTGATGAAAGCCTGTGGAAGGCAGACTCCCTCAATGAAAGCAGTTTGAGTTAAAACCCTAATTGCTGACAGAAAGACATTTAGAAGTTAAAATTAATAAGGCAACCTCTGCCTTGAGAGGCCTTAATGCATTCTAGCAGAATGAGTGTCATATGTGAAAATGGGCAGGTGATTCAAACAATTAAATTGAGAAGCACAAAGGTGTCACAACACTGCTCACAGTGGACTGGAAATCATTGAGGAAGGAAGGTGAAGGAAACTACAACAAGGACACGAAAGCTGCAGTGCACCTTTAAACCTCTTCTTACCTGTCTTCTGTTAACCTCATTAGAATTGTCCCTCTAGTTGAAAAAACAATGAAGGACATCCTCAGCTGAGGGCTGGAGAAGGAGAGAAAAAAAGTAAATTATTTTTGTGGTCCAGACCAGAGCTTACTGTATGCATAACACCAAACACACAAGACGCTCTGATTGCTATCTAGATTATAACTCAACAGGATGAAAGACAGGACTAGGCAGCAAAAGGTGTTTTCCCTGGGCCTTCCTAGTCAAGGCAAACTGTGAGGAATCCTAAAAGATGTAAATAGCACTTGCATCATGACCTTAGGATTGTTAAAGCAAGAAAGGCTTACGTGCATCCTGGGATCACCATGGAGATGAAGGAAGGCTAATTATGTTTATCATAACACATTCCACCCACTGGCCTGGGGGATTTTTCATCCAGTCTCAAGTCATTCAGTGCCTGAAAGCTACAGCCTCAGGCCTCTCCCTGCAGACCCAAACTTCTGTACCTCAGGCAGTAGTCAGCCATCTCAGAAACAAAAGGATTCCTTCCCCACAAAAACAATTTGATCCATGGAAGTCAGGCAGGAAGAAAGGGAACAATTAGCTTATCTACTCCTATTTCCTGCATGACAGAAACCTGGGGAAAAGCAGTCAATGGGATGATCGGAGAAAAGCATTAAGAACTCCCTCTCCACCAGGTCCCCTGGTGGAAAGCAGCATGTGCTACTTGACTGCGACTGAGAGCGCATCTCCCAGCTGCTGGCACACACACACCCCTCCTCATTTGGTTATCTGCAAAGCAGCACTTCTTACCTTATGAACTTGCGGGCCAAGTGTTCCACAAAATGATATATTTCATTCCAATGGTGCAAGACACTTCCTGATCTAGGGAAACAATTATTACAGGAGATATTAGTTGAATTGCTGCTATTGTAGTTTTCCCAGCCTAACATTTTGTTACACATTGCTCAGCTAGTCATTTGTTTTTATTTTTAACACTCACTGTTCACATTCTTCCTTTAAAGAGATATTAAACTCTAAATGACATTTCCTACTTAACTTTGAAAAGCAAGAATAATTTACACTCCAAGCAAGTGACTGAGGCTACACTTGGCAATAACACATGGCAGTTACGCTAGACCTTTAGCACAGCCTTATACAAATAAACCCTGTGTGAGTGAAGACCTGTCTCTCTGCACAGTATTTTAGATTAATTCCACCAACTCACTTGCCATACCATTATGCATAGCTTTTAGCTCAAACGTATTTTGAGAATCAAATGCAGTTGAAGGAACAGATTATTAAACTTCTCTAGCATTTCCACTGTGCTGGAGACTATGAAAAATAAAACATCTTAGGTCCACATCTCGACTGTTCTGGCTAATTCTTTCACACCTCAGTTAAAGGCAAAACAAACCCATTTCGCTCGTCAGGAAGATAAACCATGGACTATAATGGGATTGGATTATTCTTCTTTATGTTGTAAGAACCAGGAAAAAATTACATTAATCAGAATCTTTCAGCACTAAATGCCCCTTCTGGCATAAACACTTCTATGAACACTGGAATATTAATATTGGAAAAAAATTCCTTCCTAGAGTTGGAAAATAAATGTGTCATCACTTATTTAATTCATTGACTACAATTAAAAATATTTATAGGGGAAATAACCATTCCAGCTTTAATAGAAACTTCCTTGATCTGCAGCCTGAGGAAGAAGATGAACATTCGAGAAGAAGTTTTTTTGACTTCACAGAAAGAAAAGGCATCTGACCTGACTCTGTTCTACCTTAGATCTGAGAATGCAAATGAATAGCCATGAACAGATTCACCCAAGTACTGCACACCTGGTACAGCCAACCCCAGCCTGGCTGCAAATAGCATTACTTCACTTTCCAGCAGCACAGCAAGCATGCAAACCACATTGTGCAGGTCATACAAATTTCCTTCCCTATTCTACCCACACCTGGTTTTCATTTACAGCCATTCAGTAAAAACCTTGGCCTTACCTACTTGCTCCATGATACCTTAAGCCATTCTTTCTCTATGTGACCCCAATACATCCAAAGGCAACCTTAGATGACACGCAATGAGGGCCCTTGCACAGGTACAAGAGCATGTGTATGGAATAACTCCGAGACCTTGAATATGACAGGCACTCCAGTCCCATCAATGCCAAATAGCCCAAATCATTTCCAAGAACTGGCCTGGAAAATAAGTATTTATTGCCTTTATATGGTGAAGCATAAAAGAAACACTTGACTTTATAGCCATGGTTACATCAGTCACCAGAAGACACATGAAGCCAAGGTTTTGTTAACCATAAACCAATTATTACCTCTTTCAGTGAAATATATGTTGCTTTAGACCATATATCCACTTCTCAATAAAAGCGCACCTCATTGAAGTTTCACATGTCTTCTGAACCATCTGGTAGCAGATGTGAAGTTAGGACCCTTTCAGAAGTATACCCTAACCAACCTTCTCCTAGTCATCAGATAAGACGACTATACTACACTTCATGTTAAGGGAAAACTTAGCTCTCAGCCTCTGTTGACACAGAAGGTCTAGCTAGCCCCCGCTTACAACAGGACACTGCCCTAGAAGCTGCATTAGCCTTTAAAGGTACGGTTATTTCTTCCCCTTCGTTATAAGCCTCCGAACAAAAGTTGATCATCACTTAAAATGACTATTGCAGCAAGGCAGCTGGGAATGAGATCCAGTCACAGAGCACATGAGGTATGTAGGTCGTCATCTAAAACTCCTGTCATTTTCCACAGCTCTGAGAAGTCATGCATTTTCTGAAAACAGCATTTGCCAGAATAAAGGTTAAAAACCAACAGCTCAATTCAATGATGTGCCGGTCAATAGTGCATCAATAGCACAAAGGCAAGTGTTTGCCTTTGCAACCATTGTTCTGCTGGTCTTAAATTGTTTGAGCAGTTTTTTCAGGTAAGCAGTGCTTTTTAATGCTTCACACAAGTATGGCTTCAGCTTCTGCTGCACCTCCTCCCCTTCATCATCCCCGCTCTGTTCTCCCACCAACAGTCCCATCTTTATGCCCTCTGGAACAAAACTCCAAGCATCTGAAGTTACAGCTCTCTTTCCGTGAAACCTTCCCACCCATCTATTAACACACAAGAGGAACAACCTGAAGTTCAAGAGCAGCAGAATATTAAATGTCTATTTTAAGGAAACTTCTTACCATTGCTACAATCATAAAAACAAACCCACTCTATCCTACAAAAGGAGGATGGTTTCTGCTTTCAGTTCCAAAGGCACTGAAGTGGGGCAATTAGAATAGTCTATAATCCATTTATTCTTCATCTCTACCAGAGCAAGCTATAAAAGGGTCCCAAAATGAAGGTTCACACTTTTGCTGACCATACATCCTTCTAGCACAGCAAGTTTTCTATCTGTAGCTAGACAGCTTGCAGTCTACTTGCGGTTAATTTCTCCATCTAATCAAGCCCAGGTGTCAGCAGCTATAAATGCCTGGGTCCGCATTTAGAAAAAAGTACTCCTCTAATACATAAAATACATCTTCTGATACACACTTCAGACTTCTTACAGTATTCACTTGGCATAAAATGGACAAAACCAATAAAACTAACCTTTTTGCAGTCAATGGAAGGTTTACTAAACCAGCATTAGCTTGCAGTGTTCACCTTCACAGCTTTCCACTGTGTTAGTCAGAAGCCCCGCAGTAAAAGACACTTGTCACTTGTAAAGCCTCTCATAAGGCAGGCCAAGAACTCTTCATAGGACAAGTATTTCTAAAGCCTAACTGTAAGGCAACAAAAGCCAACTTTAAAATCGTTACCTCTTCATATTCCCAAAGAGAAACAAGATGATCAGCGAGCCAACACTTCGCAGCTGAATGGTTGATGCTACAAACTTGCGATTTAAGAAAAGGCTCATCCTGAGGATGCCAAATTCTCTTGCTGGAGAAAAGCCCAATAAATGGACATTAAGACTTAGTGAACCATTATGCCTTTAACAAGAGAATGATACATTCTGTGGTCAGATATAATCCAGCACAGGATACAACTGCTGGAATTTTGTACATCTAAACTAAATCCAAGGGTGAGAGAGAATCGGTCGTTCAGTGGTTTCAGACACAGAGAGCTAAACCCTGCCCTCCAGCAGGTGCTTTTCTCCTACTCACCGTGACAAGATGCACCATAACCCAAAGCTGCAGCAACTCAAACCTCCTTACAGTTTGACTTTCTTGTACTTTTTAGACTTCTTATTTCCATTTCTGTCACTGCACCTTCTCAGAATACCCATGGCTTGCTTTAATTCACAAACTAGAAGGAAACGGAATCAAGCCCACAAACTCTTATACAAAGACTTCACACCAGTTACGTGCACTGCAGCTGACAGAAGTACATAAAGACACCTGATGCAGAGACTGATGTTGATCCAAGTTCTCCTTAAAATTTCCACAGTTTTGGACTAACTTCAAGAAGTCTCATAGCTGTCAGAGGTGGCATTGACCCAAGAAGTTTTGCAGCATCTTTTTATTGAACTCTAAAAATAACACAAATGAGCCAAAAAGTGCCCTTTGTCTTTCCAAATACTTCAGGAGCAATTTTGAAAACACTACGTAACACAAAGATGTTAGAGAGGTGATGCAATTCTTCAAGAAAACACTACTATCTTGTTCCACACTTCACACGAGACAGCTCACCAGAGATACTGTCAAGCATTTGAGATTACAGGGTCTATAGAGGTCCAGTTCAGAGCAGGACAAGCCTCTAAGCCCAAACACAGGCCAAGAACATTCTTCTTCTTCTGATTGGCAGGGGATAGGGAAAAAAAAAAAAAGGCAAGTAACCATGGACTGAATTTATATCAAGCAGTAAATAAAGTGCAGAGCACTGCAGGCACACACTTAATCCTGGATGTAAGGCAGCTCCCACCCACCCCTTTTACCAAGGAATAGTTAACCTTAGATTGACCACGGGCTAAAAACATGTACACAGGTCTTGATGGGCATGGATTTCACATACTAACTTAGCTCATTGCAATTGCATGCCTAGAGCAGGCTTAGCAGTGAATTACATACCTTCAGGCAATGAGCAAAAAGATCTTGCTAGTATCCCTCAACCCTCATGCTAAAACAAAGAAAAACTATGCCTCCATATACTTGCAACCCCCTGCCATCCAAACAAAACTCATACATTGCTCTGGATTTAGGCCTGCGATTCCAGAAAAACAATCAAGGAATCACTGACTAGGTCAACAAAGATCAGAGATGATTTTGAATCTATTTCCACAGACACTCGGTTTTACCATTACCTAGTAAAGGCTTGTATTTCTTCAGATTAGAGCAGCTAGAATATTACTCAGCTCTGTAAGGGTCCTGTGGTTTGCTCTGTTGGAGGGCTCATGTTTCCCAGGGGAAGAGTCACTACTACCAGAAGCAGTTCATGTAGGTCAGTCTCCCTGCCTGGTGATGCAGAGTGTCTGCTTTCCATCCCGCTGTGGCCCCTATATTCTTCTACACTCTGAGTGTAAATCTGGACTTAGTCCCGCTTAAGTCATGGTAACAACAGCTACCGAAGCTAGATTCAAAGAAACAACTATTAGCCTCTCTAGAGCAGGAGTTTCACTTCAATACAACTGGTTAAAAATAGATCAGCTGTCTGGCTGAATAACAAAGGGATCACAGGAAACAGCTTGGATTACTTGCTTCATTTTGCCAAGGATCTTTTAGAGCCAAGTTTTCTTTCACACATGTACGGTTCCTTGCATGTTTTCTGCACATGGGTATAAAATGCCTACTAGTTGCACACAACAGGCAAGAGCATAGGAAAGAATACCTTTGACATACAGAGGATACAGCAAAAGATTACTGAGAAGACTTACTCATTGTTATTCCTTCCTCCCTACCTGCAAATAAATTAATCTGGGAGCTGCCTCTACCTAATGTTCCAACTGTGCGTGGGGGGGGTATTTACATACTACAGCACTAGACACCATGTCAGTTAGGGAGTGGGTTACAGTCTTCATTAATTAGTCACATGGATGATATTTTTAGAATAACTGGACAACATCAGAAAAAACAAATGTTTGCTTTATGTTTATCAACATCTCACTGCTTCCTCATTCTTCCTTCTTAATGAAGGCCCTATACCTTATCTCACATCCAGGCCGTAAATTCTTTGGCACCATCTTCTGCCATATATTTTGCTACCATTCAGTCTACGGGAGCCTCAATCCATGAAACTCCTCAGCACCACAGTAATGCAAAAGGACCAGCTCTCTCAACAATTCCCCCAAGATAAGTGGGCCTTACCTTCCACAACACTGGGCTCATCTTGGTATTATCTCCAATTTGAGGTGCTCAGCACCCTGTACGACTAGATCCTGCATATAACCTAAATAGCAAATAGCATACAACTGTACTCTAAATAGCATACAGCTTGAGTTGCAGACCTCTCCACCTTTTTTTTTTCCTTTTTGCAATCAAAGCACAAGAGAAATGGATTAATCTGGTCTTAATTCATGTGAATACAATTCCTTCAGCAGCTCAGAATTTCAAGTTAGGTGTTTGTGTGTATAACGCTATTTTTGTCCTTTTAAGTTTGCTGCATGTCAAGGAACAATTCTCAAGAGAGCTGGCAAACCTTAGTTTCCTCCAAAGTTGGAGCACTGCACCAACAAAAGCGTGACAACTTCAGTTTTACTTGGCAAGGAGTTTGCCCAACTCAAACTGCAGTCCTCTGGGGTGTCTTTGCATCACTTTTGGAACATAACTCTGCTAGCCTGAGGTCCAATGGTCACAGCATGAGAGGCCTTCTCTATTGCTACCTAAGCTGTGTGAGAACTCTTGGAAGTGATAAGAGACATGCGAGTGCACGCACAGAGATTAAGGATGCTGTTGTAACCTGGCAAGCATATCTGGTATCATTCAAGCTTCTGTTCTGTTTGTTACATGCACATCAAGGCTGCGTAGCATAACAGGATTATTTCTGAATGGCTGTATACTGGATTTTCTTCTCCTTCATGACCATGAGAAATAGCAGATTTGCTTCAGGTCCTCTGGACATGCCATCTGCAGGGAGTCATGTCTCCAGCTGCCTGCAGACAGCCGGAGGAAACCTGGTTTCCCTTCAACAGTTCACACAGCAAGTTTGCAGGGTTTTCCTAAGAACATTGCAGGGAGCTAGAGCATCACTTCATGAGAACAGCCTATAACACGTGCCCTTTCCCCAGGGGGTTACGTGTTCACTTTGAAGGGCTTCTTGTGGCCAGAAGTATGCTTCAAGAGTCAGCGCTGTGACAAGGACTGCATATAGTGCAGCAGCTGGAACATCTACGAGCAGCACACATACAGGGTGCTAAATGGACTTAAGTAGTCACTAAATCCAACCAGGCACTGAGGCAGAAGGGTCAGCAGAGGGCTCTAGCACTGGTGACTTCCAGGGCTGTGTTTATTGTTTTTATATTACTCCTTTGATCCCAGAAAGTAGGTTGCTTAATATTTTAATGGCTTTCTTCCACCATTGAAATTAACATTTCATGTTTCAGAATCTAAATCTCTTCTGCTTCAGTGTCCTTTATCACTTTTAATAACTTCTAAACATTTTTAGAGCTATGTCAAAGAAAAGGAGTGAGCCCTGAATCTATTATTATCATTTCATAGTTTGCCTGAAGGCCTCTATAGGCATCATCTCTCTCCACATTCAGGACTTCAGAGAATGTTTTCAAAAATGTTGCTGAACAACTAGAAGGTGGAAAACCCAGGCTAAATAAGACTCAAGGTTTTTAGAACTTTAGCTTAGCATCTGAGTAATGAAAAAAAGTTTTAAAGATAAAGGATATAGGATAACCTACTCTGCCACAGTAAATATCTCATCAGCCTTCTCAAAGGCTAAACAATCAGGTCCACGACATATTGTACATACCAGTAACTTAAACACCATAACTCTCCTCCAAATTCCACTGGAGACCAAGCACATTTTTACATCAGACCCTGTTCATTCCTGCACCAGAAAAATCCCAGAAATAAGAATCCCGCAACTGTCAAAGTGGGATTTTTTTTGTTGCATACCTTGATATGTACACTGAAGTAAGTCTGGCTACTGTACAGTTTGTGCCAAGCTTCATATTTCTGCCCAAATTCATAATCCCTTGAGCAAGCCTAGGAAGTCATGCCTTTTAGTAAGAGGACAGCACAGAACATGAAATAAGCGGCTGTTAAAATTACATTAGCTCCGAGGTATAACACAGCACATCCATCAGATTTGAGAAAACCTTCAATTCTGCTTCAACTTTGAGGGAAATGCAGTTTGCAAAAGCTGTCTGCAGTACAAATCATGCTCTGTTGTTTTGTTTTTTTTTCATATGTAGCAATAAAAGTACTCCAACTAATAACTGAACAGCCAAAGCACCAAAATGCATTAGACAGGTAGATCTTTCCACTGAATAAAGTAAAAAAAAAAAAAAACAACCAAAAAACAAAACCCACAACTTTCCCCTGGAGCATTAGGACAACTGGCATACTAAAATATCCAGTGTCTCAGTCTTACATTTTACCCAGTATTTTGTAATAAAGTGTTATGTAATTCCAAGTCATTTATACTAATGGAACATGGGAGCTACTGCAAAACACTCAAGAGGATCAGTCAGAAAGCTTCATCCGCAAGCACTTTTGGCAACTTGCAAATACTTTCCTGTCTCTGAAATTTATGGTTAATAATGTCAGTACCATGCCTCTGGCATGCATATTCTCCAGTATTTCCAAACCTTTGGTTCAAAATAACTATTCTTAATCAAGAAAATTAGGAGAATCATTTTAGCTAGTACTTTTTAAAAACTTCTTTGTAAATTATCGTATTGCTTCAATATTAAGGTTTCCAAAGCTAAGCACATATCTATTTCACATTACTCCATCTACAATCTGAAGGCCTGTAAATAGGCAAACTTACCAGTGCCAAGAAGATGACACTATCACAATCGGTGATGAAAAAAGTGAGGTAGGAAGTTATCTTCAGTACAAACAGTTAAGCAGTCAAAATATGCATTTGATTAACAGGAAACAAAGAAAATGTGACTCAGCTAGAGAAAATAAAGCTATCTTTAAGTAAGGCACTCTAGCTGTTTTCCATCACAATGGACAAAATCAGACCCTTTCAAAGGGAGTAGCCACCTCTCAGAGCCGGGTCCTCACCTGCAAGTTGCTGCTCTGGAACGTTCAGAGCTAAGGAGCAAGCGGTACAGAAGCACACATCCAGGCAGGCGAGCATTTCCTCCACGTTTTCAGCTACAGAATTAAAGCCTGCAATAATAACTCTCCAACCCCTGCTTTCACGAGTGCCTCAACCTTCACAGTTCATAGGGAAATCAGAGGTGACCAGGGTGCTGCCCTTCTCCCAACCACTCTTTTAAGAAACTACAGGGTCAAGTACACAATAAAGTTTCTGTATCAGCCACAGCAAAATTTATAACAATTTGATTTACAGAGCACAATGGGATTATATACTAGACCTACCAAAGAAGTTACCACAACAAAAACAAAGCCAGAGTAGTACGGAGTTTTGCAGGTCCCTCAGGGACACAGTGACTTCTACAAAACCAAAATCCAAAGAAAACCTCCTCGGTATCAGTATATGCCATTCCAATTCATGCCTAGAGAAAGATTTCTTTGAAAAAGAACAGAGTAGAACTGACTTACTTGTCTAGAATGAAATACAAATCAAATCCTCCGTAACAGGCAGGACCACCATTCTCTCTCTTTCCACCTTGTCCATCACAGGCTAGCATAAAAGTTGCTAGGAAGAACCATTTGAAGCCAAATCTCAAGATGCTTTGCTTTGCAATAGCCATTATATCCAGAGAGGAGAAGAAAAAGGAATCTCTTCTTCCAAGGCTCCTTTATTTCACAGGTTTCTCCACAAAAGCCATTCAATGACCTTTAAATGTGTATATTTATGTATTTTATTCCTTAAAACTCCACTTGCAACAGCTGTCCTCAGGAATTGCAAGACTTTCCCCCTTGTTTCCCTTGCACTTCTGTTTCTTGGTTTCAGATTTCAAGATGCACAATACTGTATTTCACTTTTTTTTTTTAAAGGGACTTGACCCTCAGTCTCACTTGCAGCGCTCTGAAAGCAGCACCATTGTTTTGCAAGAGAAGGAGCCGCCTCCTAACAAATCTTGCTTTGTCACAGACTTCAGAAAATACAGGGAGGGTTTGAGGTTCCCCCCCCCCCTTAATTATTATTGTTATTATTCAGGATGGCAAGTTTTATTTTTCCTTAGCAAAAAAAGCTCAGAGAATGCCACCTTGTGGCAAAAACTCAAGCTGACGGGAGTCTCTGGTTTTAAGCATCTCATTCGAGCACCGAGCATACTAAACACATACCACAGCAGCATTCGATGCAAACACAGAAGCGGTTTGCTTGCAGCAGTCACGCAGCACTGTGCAGAAACATCTTTGTTTCCCACGTAGGCAACATCTGAGTTTAAAGACCTTTAAAAACCCAGAGTGGCTTCACAAAAGTTAAAGTGACAAGCCATGCCAGGTTTCATCCCTTCTATTTTTTCAGTTCTGAAAAATATCAAGCAACGTCTGTGCCTATGAAACAGGCTTCCCCCTCTTACCATCCTTAGCAAGTTCATTTCAGCCACTAGAGCCTTAACCCTCCCTCTTCCAAGAAAACTCACTGGAAAAATGTAACTTCATCTACATTTGCATTTTCTGCCTCCTTCCACAAACAGCACTACAAGCTCTAAAACCTGAGCCAGACAGCTCAAAAGCAAGAGCATTCCCCAGTCAGAACAGCTCCCTATACCAGCAGGAGCTAAACTAGAGATCCCAGGAGTAGGGGCTCCTAGCCTTCCCTCTCAAGTCCTCTCAGGCTACAGCAACACACCTGTTCTCCAAGTACCAACTGCTGGTTAGCGGAGCAGCTTCAGGTGTTGCATCAAGCGTGAGGGGACCAGGTCAGATTTCTGACAGGGGATGCAAGTGCACTTGAGTCAGGCTTTCAAGTTGTTCTTTGTTGCTTAAAGAGTTAAATTTTCTTTAAAAAATTCTTAGCAAAAGCAAACAAACTGAGGAAAGGCCAGGAAAAGCAGCAGAATAGGTTTCAAGGGAAAACAACAAACAGCATGATACTGGACTTCTGACAGAAGTGGAAACATCTGGATTACAAATTAGTCAGGCACCTTGTTGCACTGATGGTTAAAACTTTGGGAGTGTTCTCCCTCCTACACCTGGCTGTGCTCAGCAAGTACACCAGCTCCATCACCTGTAATGTGGATAATATAGAGACATGGGCAAGTGGTACCTCCTCGGTCCTGCTGCCAAATCCTGATCAGACCTGAAGGAAGAGGAGATCCCTTGGAAGTCAAAGCTTCTCTAGGGCTAGACAGGAGCGGAACCAGGTGTTTTGTAGATGGATATTTTGGGCTTCCATACCTAAACTCAGGGGGAGTTGGGAGTGTGCAGGTGAGTCTTCCAATTTATCTCTTAGTCTGAAAGGAGAGTAGTAACACAGCTTGTTACTGCATAGGCAAAAGATCTATGTCAGGGTATCAGGCTTTCTACAACAAACAGAAACAAGGCACAATGTCAGAAACGTGTATGAGAGCCTTTTGCTGAGGTAGCTGTGATGCTGCCCAAGCTGAGGGTTAGCACCTGCACCAGCCCTGGGCAGGCAAAATGTGAGGGCAGGTGCTCCTTTTTGGGTAGCTGTGGAAAAAAAGGTGGAGCTGCCACCTCCTGGTTTGCATATCTGAGTGCTCTGGTTACTTAAAACCTGTGAGATGAGGCTGCTGGGAGATAGCAAAGTGCAGAGCTGTAGTTCCTGTAGCCAGTATAGGTGTGCTAGGTAAGCAAGTAGGGCTCAGGGATTTTAAAGTTTCATATGGATGCTCTGGAACAAATCTGTTTATAATTATGAAGCTTGAATTGCACCAAACATGGGGTTATGCCTAGTGAGTTTTGTGTATGTATCTGAATATTGTACTGACCGAAGGAAGGGGATGAGACTAGTCCATGGTTTCTTTTTTGGTATTTTAAAAGAAAGCTAGCTGAATAGAGGATGTAGAAATAGGAAGGGTAGAAGAAAAACTTCCTCTCTAGAGACTGATGTGCTGTTCTTGAGAAATTTTGGAAAAGTACTTAGGCCCAGCTTCTGATCTGAGGTACAGCTAGCGCTCCTGCCACAACTGGATAAAGTATCCTGTTGTTACTAGTTTATGACCTGTGTCTGCCTAAAGATTAAAAGCAGACTGATAATCTCCTATTTGTTTCTGACTGGCCCCGAGATGAACAAATGTTTAGAGCTTAAACAAAAAAAAAAGCTGTACCTCAGGAAAATAACTTTGGCCTGAAGCTAGGAGGGGGAATGGGGGAGGAGATCAGATTCTCTGTGTAGCTATGGATTCAGGCTGACAGACGGTCTGGGAAAGCTTGGGGAAAAGCCAAGGAGTAAGGCATCAGATGAAGCTTAGAGCACTCTGAGATGGAGGGAGCTGCTGACAAAGTGAAACACCATGCTTTGTGCTGTAACTCTGACTTTCTTCAGGGCTAGTCTTCTTCATATGCCTATCTTAAGAATGTGTCTTTTTGTTTATGATCCGGTAATAGCAGCATCAACACTCTGAGAAAAGCAGCTCCATAATAGGAAGCTCATGTGAGACACAGGAGGGGGCATTGGAATTTCTGTCTGTCCCTCCCTAAGTAAAAATGCTAGAAACAAAAATATTATGAAGACTACATTTTTTTTTTGTGAAAGACCTAATAGTTCTTGCAGAGACTGGGTTTGTTGTATTCTTTGTGTGAAAAAGACAAGAAGGTGTTTTAATTGTGTACAGCAGTTCAATGGTTAATTAAGCTCCAACTGATGTCCTTGGTGTGTGAATAGAATTTGCATATGTAAATGGTGGGGGAAGTAGTATCAGCAGGTTTTCTTGTTTTATCATCTACTCCCTTAGATGTATCTATGGGACCTCTTCTGAAACTCACAGCTTGGAAGAAGCTGATTCTGTCAGTTTGTGGTAACGATGTTGCTGATAGGTGAGACACAGCACATGACAGCATCCTGTGGGTTTTGTGAGTGCTCACTTGGGTGTCTTTGGGGGTTGTTCCCTTTGGCTCACAAATGTCTGACCTGTGTGGTGGATAATGGCTTCTGTCAAGGTCTCAAAAGCATGTTCCCTAGTTTTCATGGCACTTCAGAAAGCTGTTACAGCAGTCTGCATGGGTAATTGAGATGTAACGAATTGCCTATGATGACCAATATTATTATCACAAGTATATCATCACTGTACAGGAATTACTTCCCTGTCTTCGGTGTAGACATGTCCTTAAATTCACTGGCCATGTTTTCAGATAGTGTAATTCAGCACAGCTCTGCTAGTATCAGCAGAGCTATGCTGTCTTACGTGATGTAGGACAACAGACTTCTCTGGGTAGCAGTTGTGTGCCTGTACATTTCAATTGTACAACGTATAACTCAAGGCTGACACCCGGTGGCCAAAAAGGCTTTTCCCTGGATTGCTCTAATTTTTAAAGGGATCAATAACTCCCTTGTCTCTTGCTTTTATCTGACTTTGCCCTGCTTTGATTTTATTTGCCTCTGCTGCAACGTGTAAGGCTGTATTGTATTATTTTTCTGGCGATTAGAGTTCGTTCCACTAGCTTTTTTAACAAGGACTGCTAACTCTGCATACATATGTAACCTCCTCCTAAAGAGGACTGTTACACTAAGTATACAGATGAAAATATATTGCTTGTAATGTATTAAATAAAATAGGAGAAAGTACGGTGTAGAAGATAATTCTGCCATAATCTAAGAAGGCAATGCATTTGCTTTCCAAGTCTTGTTTTTTAATTTCTGCCTAAACCTACCTAGGAGGAGGGGGTGCAGTCAGGTGAGCTGCTGTCCCCTTTGGTTAGTGCTGTAGGAAACAGGGTTGTGTAATAAGGCTATGCGCTTCTCAACAGCCTGCCCTCCTCTACTCAGTGTTGCACGTATATAGCTTTTGTTTGCCTTTAACCATTTCCAAGCACTTTGCCAGGGCTGGAGCATCCTTGCAGCACCTCTGCAAGTGGGTTTTTTTTTTACATTCACTTATATCCAGGCAAAATTAAGCCCAGTCTACTCAAAGGGACAGCTATCATTAATGGTATCTTTCTCTCTAATTGAATTCAGACAAAGATGATCAGCCTGGTTCCCACCGATCCTGAGTTTGGAGCAAATGTTGAGGAAATCTTTAGGGGCTTCTGGTTTTCAGCATTTCTGAAAATTGGGTGGCTTGAGTTTGACCTCCCTTCTTAAATGAAAGCACTCAGTTAAGAGTATTTTCTAAGCACCTGAGTTTAAAAGTCTGAATACTCTAATGACCAAGTCCAAACCACAGCACAGGTGTCCAGATTCTCAGTCCCCTGTGACTCACAAGAATGCAAACTCAGTATTCTCCTTAGGAGTCTGTTCAATTTGGTCAGATACTTAGACAGCAGTAATTAACCCCCTGGAGGCATTAAGGTGCGTGAATCCTGAAACAATTAAGTCTAAGGTAACAGCGATGATCTAGAAACATGCATCTAACTTTGAGCAAGTGAATATGCAAACAGCACTGTTGAAGCACTGTTTGTTTAAATGAATATTAGGATTTTCTGCAGTTTGGTTTCCACTGGTTTTAAGGCAAAAGGATAAGCACACATGCCCAGCAGGAGGGAGCAGAGCTGCACGGAATGGAAGATTCAGATATATAATAATCCTGCGGGATTTAAGAATAAATCCTACCACATTGTTGGATTTGCAGTGTCTGACTCACCCTTTTCAAAGTGCTGTAAACATAATGTGACCATTTAT